ACGACTTTTGCATGAGTACCATCCCAAAACGATCAAATTAAGTCCTCCTCTTATGGCTGAACCTCAAATCACAGGGAGTAGAGCAAAGAGCAAAGAGATCATGTTCCAAACGTGATCATTCTCCCTTTTTCTGGTTCTATCCCTCTGAAGTCATATCACATTTATTAACTGTTTTATGCTGAAAATCAGCCAGGTATAACTGATGACATAAATGACACCAAAAATACAACAAACAATAAAAGTGATGTTCGTTGAAGTTCCTTACAATACCGCTGTTGGAAATGTTCGAATTCATACCTCATAACGAGCACAATCATCCAAATCACTGAGCAAATTCAATCGAACTGAATCAAATGAGATTTTTTGCGCCCAGTTTTTTTTCAATCAAATGAGCTCGTTCATTTCTTGGTGAACAGCTCGACATGATGAACGAATCGACAAATTTAGTGAATTGTTTGATAAATAATGTGTGCTGCATCTAAAGTGTAACCAGATGACTCAAGCAACTGGTTATACCTTCTTTGATGAGTTTCCAATCAGTGATTGGTGTAATGCATCACACATTTTGTTATTAGTGCTTCTTGTGTGTTTCGTTCCTTGTTTACAGCTCGACGACTTTTCAGTTGAATTGATTCGGTGGTTATCATCAACATCGTCACCAAGCAAGTTTCCTTTATTCCCAATTCGCCCAACAACCAACTTCTCTGTTCACTTCTAAAGTGATGAGCAAGACATGAAGAGAAAGACTCGAAGTGAATGAAAGCAAGTTATAATAAGGATCTACGCATTCAAGAAAAGAGCGCAGTTACAGAAAGACTCAGTAAATATCTCAATTAAAATGACAAATACGATGATAATACCTTAATTGAAAATACATCAATAATGACGAAAAAAGAACAATTGACGCAAAAAATATCTGTCTATTCCTCAGTTGGTTGATTCACATATGCTGTCGAAGAGGTGTTTTCTTTCTGCATTGTGACTCGAACCAAACTGAAAAACCCCGCCTTCTTGTCATGGTCGGTTGTGTGGAATCAGGAAAGCGACGAGAGAGCACACGACTCATCATCACACACAAATAATTCATTCCCATATTTCATGATGACGACGACGACGATAACGATAATAATTTCATAATGATGATTGCATTATTCAGTAGCGTCATCGAAAATTATTTATATAAATGTGTATTGATGCGAGTCCGATGCACATTTGCAAAGTGAACAGATCACCTGAAAGGTGCTCGGTGTGCGCTAGCCTTCGACTTCGATTCGATTACCTCCCAATCAAACTCGATCTGATTGATACTCAATGATATACGACTTGACAATTTATCAAAGATTCATCAGTTTCGCAGTCGCCTCGGAATTTTTGACCTTTTCTTTCGAAATTGCGCCCCACAGTTTGCTTCTCCCAATTTCTTGATAGCGACACCGTTTGTGATATCGACACCCAACTGATATCTTAATCCACATTTGTGGATTAAGTAATCTTGAGCAGTACACTCTAAACACTTTCTGTCGTTGCCATCAGCATTGTTAACGTTGGTATTATGAGCATAAGTATCGGTATTAATCGTAAGATTGATTTCAGCATACATTACTGCCTCAACATAATGAAGCTCTGCATCTTGGCCGTTGCTGTTTTCGTAGTTGCAGTGAGCGCTCAAGGTCCTCCACCACTTCCACCATTCGTGGCCAACGCACCACCTGCCGTTCAGGCTGAATTCAGACAGCTGGCAAATGGCGCCCCAGACAAAACCGAAGCAGAAATCGAAGCTCAGATCGAGCAATGGGTAGCTTCCAAGGGAGGTGCTGTCCAGGTGAATTGATGAAATAGTTTACCACTTAACTTTCGTTGATTCTATATCCATCCGATGCTTCCTAACCAAGGTGTTAGTGAACAGTGCTCTCCATGAATCTTGACTTCTTAAGAAAGAAAGACTTCAGAGCAAATA